GAAGTAGGTAAGGTAGTACGTAGTAAGTAATAGTAGTAGGAGTAATAATTAATTATTATTATTGTTGTGTGTGTGTGTGTGTGTGTGTGTGTGTGTGTGTGTGTGTGTGTGTGTGTGTGTGTGTGTGTGTGTGTCTTTAATAAGCTATTGCTACCAAAATTATATTTCATCCTGTATCTGTTAAAAAATTGGAAGTGCAACAAGATATCTAAATTTGGACATGAAATATTTTGGATGCTCATATGGAAAATGAAACTAATTGAACTTCAAATATTACACCGATTCATTTTACAACATGAAATTTCACAATAATCATGGTGTATTTTGGAAATCTGTAGTTTGTGCACAGCAATTTTTCTTTGACAAAAATTAGATTATTCTCTAAAACTACTTAATACAACTTACTTTTACGGCACCTTGTCATTCTATCTGCTTTCCAAGTAGCATCTTTCACTTGTGTATGGTATTCCATCAAAAAATTCTTCTCATGTTCAAAAAACTCATCCATATCCTGAAATGTATACATAGAATGGTATACAAACACATAGACAAATATTTACAATTTACTTCATCTGGACAAAAAAGTCCAAACATTAAATTTTAGAATACAAACTAGTTAAACTTATTTCATGCCTTGATTATATTTACTGTTTCTTTATTTTTAACACATTAACATCTTGACCTTATAATTGTGTAAGAAAGTATCAGATAAAGTCTAGATAACTCTGTGCTCACCTGAAGTAAAATGTATGATTGTTTTGGTACACTTTTAAAACCCAGAATCTGTATGTCCAAAAATCTATTCACTTACAGCTTTTAAAAGTTTTCTACCTAAAATCAAATTCAATTTAACGTTGCCCTATTTTTTTTTATGGTATTTATCTAAGTACTTACCTTTTGTGTTGTTGATAATAGCATGTCATCTGCTGATTCTTTAATATTACTAATGAGCCCAACAAATTTTTCTTTTTTGTTCTTTCCCCGAACAGATAACTGCATAAGAATCAACAAATATTTATATTTAAAGAACGATTTGAAAATCATAAATTTAATTGAAAATACAATTCTGCAATTTTACTATAAACAGCTTAAAATAGATCTAAACAATGTTTTTATTTTATTTTTATTTTTTATTCAGGAAATACTTAGCAGACTTTTTTTTAATGTAGCTGATGGAAAATCACATTGGCTAATACACAGCCTACTGAAATCATAATTTTCCAATTTGTTGCTAAGAGAAAGTTCGACTTTTATACACATAAAATCTAACAAAGCATGAAGAATAAAAATCACCTCACCGCCACAATGTTTGTGTATGAAATATAACGTAGTAGTATTCAAATCTTGAAATTAATACCAGCAAACTAGCAAATTGTCAGTTAGTGTTTCAGTTTTTAAAGAAATTGCTAGTACCAACTTCATAAAAATATATTAAAAGGGAGGAGGTTGGGAGTTAGAACTATATAAGAACTTTTATAGTAGAATGTACAGTCCTATTTAATATCTTTTAGTTCTATTCAATATTTTACAGTTCTATTCAATATTTTACAGTTCTATTCAATATTTTACAGTTCTATTCAATATTTTACAGTTCTATTTAATATCTTTTAGTTCTATTTAATATCTTTTAGTTCTATTTAATATCTTTTAGTTCTATTTAATATCTTTTAGTTCTATTTAATATCTTTTAGTTCTACTCAATATTTTATAGTTCTATTTAATATCTTTTTGTATAGATAGAAGTTGGGAGTTTAATTAGTAGAAATATTAGGGTAGTTTCAATCGGTTCATTTCTACTTTAAGAAATTTAAGGATAACTGGCTATAGACAGTGAAAGGCAGCAGAAGATGAGATGTGGGTGTAAGCACTTAGCGTCGTACCTTTATTTGATTGATTTATGATGACTAGGCCGACTAGATTGACATTTGGATTTTGTCTGATAGATGGGATATCCCCAATGCATTTGGGTGCTATTACCACAGACATTATCCATTATGACAATAAGTTGACAACCATGACTGATAACTAATGTGATATATATATATATATATAAACACACACACACACAGACATACATATTAACATTTTAATACACAAAACAATAAATTATGTCACAGCTACAGTTAATTTTAGAGAAGAATAATGTTGTTAGTAGCAATTTCTAATTTGTTAGTAAAAAATTAACTAGTAACCATTTGCTAATGCTTTCTTAAATTATAGTCAAGACTTGATGTTGAAATACATATGCCTTAGGTAATTATACACTTCTTTTAAGAATAAAATGTATATAATTTAGAGTGTGTCTGAAGACGAAACAACAAAATTATGCTACACTACAAGAAAAATTGAAATTAAATACACGAGAAACCTCAGTAATAAGAACAGGTACTTACATCCTTTTCATATTCTAAAAAAATTCGAAAAGTATGGTCCACTTTGAAAACTGGATGCCCAGCTAACCTCTGTAGAAATACTTCATGCATGGCTACAGTTTTTTTAAATGTTGCCAGGTACTCTCTGAAGTTAGAAAACAATTCTTGCTACTTAAATTTTTCTTTTAATACTAAGTGCTTTATTGATTAAACAACTCAATCAGTTTTATGGATACAAGTCCAATAGTTAAAGGTATAATTTAATTACTTTCCTTTTCAACTTTTCTATCTTAATAAATGGTCAAAACACAATACCATAACATTAATAATTTAAATGTTACAAAACAATTAAACATACGCTTCTAATTCTTGTTTCATTTTACTGAATTCTTCTTTTGTCATTGCTCCTTCTCCTTCACCAAGTTTCTGTAGTTTTTCTCTTGAAGCATCAAAGTCAGGACGTGGAGGAGCTGGAGGGATCTGGAATGACAAGGATCACTTACTGTTTCAAAATATTTAGGTCAAATAATGCAATAAAAGCATCTTGTTTTAAAGTTTCAGCAACTGCAGTTTAAAATTGTGTCTTAATAGCTATTTTCCATCATTTTATAAATGTTCCCATAATTTAAAAAAATTAGCATAGCAGAATCTGCAAATATGCGACTGAACAATTCAACAACAAAAAATCTTCAAGTACTTTTTTTTTTACACTTAATATTTAGCTAGTTGAACCAAAAATAGTTATCAACACAGACATTGTTTTTCTTCTGTATACACGTAACAATAAAAAGTTGCAGAATTATTTTGTCCGAGTTATGAGTTCATATGCTGTGATAAGTTAAGGTGAAATTGTTGAAGTTACTTTTAAAACTTTAATTTAAACAATATTGAAAGTTGTAATATTGTTCCATTTTACCAAAATACAACAAAGTGAAACAAATCAAGAATTTTAATTTCAAAAGCATTAATCCATTATGCTTCCAAAATTCTTAAAACCACTACTTTTTTTTTTTTTCTTACCTAATAAGACAAATTAAAATTACACAAAGACAAACTACTTACTTACTACTTAAAGAGCAAAAATTACAGAGCTAGTACAAATAATGTAAAAGCAAAAGTTAGACTTGGGTTTTTTTTTTTAAACACTGCAGAGTTCTTATTTACTATCACCTTTATATGAACAACAAAATTGTTAGAACTTTTGTTGTCAACTACCTTTCTTTCTTAATGCATTTATTTTTCAATATATATCAATGAGTAATAGCTACAATACATACCACATAACAAAATTTTCAGTTTTTCATGTTATCTATAAAAGATTTAGTCTCTAAGTATTCTAAATGACAGGAAACAAAGCAAAAGAAAATTTTGAAAGTTAAAAAATAAGTGTTTGCATTTCACAGTGTAAATCACAACCTATCATTTCTAACTTTATATAAATCTCAAGTTTTATTCAATTTATAGCCTGCAAGTATCAAATGTATCAGAAAATCATTAATATTTATGAAATGTCTAACACATGCAGACATATGATTGTACATAAAATATATTATAAAATCATTTCTCATGATACACAAGTTCACTCTTACTAAATTACATATAGCAGAACAAAAATACGACTTACAATAAAACCACAGTATTTTTCATTACTTTCTAAAGCATCATGTAGCCACAGAAACTCTTCATGTTGACGAACAACTGAAAATTCATTTTTCTGAAAATCTGGTAATGTTGTCTGTAAAATTGGAACAAATCTCTCTTAATTTTGTTTATTAAGAAAGTTATACATTTTAACATACATCTTTATTATAAAATTATATATTCCATCAAAAGGTCTTAGGGCTTGAGCAAGTTACATTAAAATAATTTGGAATATGCAAATCAGCAAGTCATGAGACATCCACAGCCATCATAGTCATCATGGTGGAATAGCATATATTAGAGCTACCTTTTGGCATTTCATAAATAATGTGATGCCACTAAAACTGATAACTTTTGAGATGGGTATGCAAGAGCCCTTTCCAACCAAAATATTCATACACTCAGATCATAAAAACATTCAAACTGGGGAATGTAGAATTTACAGGATGAGAATATTGCTTGTGCTTAATTGCATTGGAAACCAAAGAATATAGATCAACTTGGTGTACCAGAATAATCAAGAAAGAGAGCTGTAACAAGTTATTTTCAGCTTTGGTAAGCAAAGGGTAGCAGCTCGTAACAAGTAAGAATCCAGAAACACAAAGGTAAGTAGCAAAAGCTGTTAACATGCCCCAGGCAACACAATCAAGAATGATTTCCCCTCTGGAAATGAGGTCAACATGGTATGGAATTATCAGTCATACCTCCCATTCAACCATTGTATACCTCAAGCAACTGGAGAATGAAATATGTATTCATGGCGTTCCAAACAAAAGCATACAAGTCAAGTTATTCGATACAGTGCCTATGGTGTTCTCTGCAATCAGAATGTAGAAACGAGTGCTTAGAAACCATCATCCAAGTACACTAGGTGAATTATAGAAAGTATGCAGGTAGGACTAATGTATTTTGGACATGACAGCCTCTTAGTATGGAAACTATGCTGCAGGACTATTTTTAAAATGTATGATATTTGATAAAGTATGGACAGGTGTGACACAATTACTGCATTTATATGAGGAGGTTCCCAAATTATTTTCATGTAATGTACTCAAACTTATCTACATGTAAACCCATCCAGATACATGCAAGCTTTCAACTCTTGTTTAGCCAATTTTGAAAGAAGAAAGTCAAATACTCATTTTTTTCCCCATATTTCTGAAGTGGTTATATAAAAATGAGTTTTTTTATTGTAGTTTTTCAAATATTATTCACAAGTCAAAACTCTTTCTAACAAACTTTTATTTTATCACTAAATACTAAAATTTATTGCACCAGCAAAACTTTATCAAATACATAAAAAAATAATGAAAACCACCAATCTGTAAAATCAATTTTTCTAAACTGATACCTGGGAAACGTTTAGAAGTTATGATAACCCATTACTACAGTGTACTTCTACTTGAAATTTTCTTCTCCCAAGCAATGCTTAAAATTATATCAAAGGGTTTTCACACAGGATTTTTAAAATTAAATAAATTTCTCAATCTATATAATGTACCAGGGATTGAACCAGAATTTTTTAGGGGGAGCTTGCCTCCTCTAAGAAAATGAAGAATTTTTGAAGTTTCAAATCTCTCTGATGTTTGTAAGTCACTCCCATCTGAAGCAATAAGAAAAATTAATAACTAATACTTTCTGCAACCATCAAAACATCCTTGCCTACATTTGAAAAGCTGACTGTAAGAATGAGGATCTTGAATTGACCCTTGAAATCAACTTATGTCAAGTGATGTTCACAGATGAGCTAAGGAAAGTGATGGAAAGTTTGACAACCATACCACTGAAATGAGTTCTTTCAAACACCTCTGTTGTGTTTTAAATCAATCATAATATTTTGGAAAAAAAAGATCTTTTATGCCTTAAAGTTGGTACAGATCCCTCTCCATTCAGGAATAACAGCATAACTTATCCCGAAAAACTAATATTATTGCTACCACTTGCATCTCTACTTTTCTGTTTTTTTAATTTTTCTTTGATCTTTTTGGCATTTGCAAATGGGAGCCTGAACCCCTCTGGCTTCGTTACTGTGCAAAAACTAGATGTCATATGTAATATCTTATGCATTCTGTTATAATTTCAAACCAAGGAATTTTGTTGGTAGTAGAAATTTTATTGACTTTCTTTTAACTAGAATTCAGAGATTGCCTTGTTTTTTGTTTTTTTAAAGAGCTATATTTTCTTTTTTTTTAATCATCAAATTCATTAATATATAAATAATTTTTATATATTTCTTCCGTTATAATGCTGACCATATCTATCACGTAAATATGACAAATTAAACAACTGGACATTCATGTCAAGCTGATTACGTCAAACATTTTAATCTGCCTGTTTTGACCCCTTTACAGATTATTTAATACATTCATATGTTATACTTGCAAAAGTACTATATTTTTCTTGTCTCTTAGTCAAAAAAGATACTGTATTTTACATAAAAGCTCAACATTTTTCAGATATATGTGCTTTTAGATTGCTTCCAGACTTTCACATACAGGAAATCCATGGAAGCTATTTTTGGAAACTCAGTTTTGATTTTATATCTACTACAATTCAGTGCAATTAAGTTTAGAAATGTGTAGAGGTTTTGTCCTAATTACTTTCACTTGAAACAACCAGTGATGTTGGTATTGCCTGTAAATTGAGAGAGAGAATGTTGATTTTATGTATACACTTTATATCATCATACATTCTCTCAAGTGTAGAACAAAATCTCTTAAAAAAACAACAACATATAATTCAAACCCCTCTATCATTTAGAAGCATGCCCATCATTCAGTGAACTTGTTTACTTTTAGTCTTTGTTAAGAATTGTTAGATATACGTAACTGTTTCAGTTTGGCTTAATACAAGTTTATATAGTGCGAGTGTTAAATTTATTTATTTTGAGAAGCAATAGTTTATTGCAGGTTTGTTTATGTAACTGTTTATGATTCATACATTGTGTAGTTCAATAGTTATGAATTGTTGATTGTTATATTATTGCATCATGTTACTAGAACCTCCCAAGTTTTTCTCATTTCAATCGAGTATTATTGCATCATAACAACTCGTAGTGAGTGATACATTCTAGGCCTCTGGTGATGTATAAATACCCATTGAAAAATTAGTTTGAAAGATAGATTTAGATTGTGTTATTGTGAGTTTAGCCAAAAAGCGCATACAGTGGCAATTTTTAAAGTAAAATTATTACAAACTGTATTGTAATAACAGAGCAGGAAGAATAATTTGTCTTATCAAATTGTGTTCTACAGTAACTGAATAAACCTGTGTGTACTTTGACAAAGAAGAAACAATTACTTAAAGCTCTGTATACAACTGTGATAACCAACTGTGTAATGAACATTTGTATACACATTTGACGTGTTTTAAAACAAGTGGACTGTATGCTGTTTGTTTATTGTTGAAATTTATTGCCAAGTCCCAGACATCTACTGTAAAGAATCTGGCCCATACATAAAATCTGATAAGAATAAATATCATTTTTCACTTTATCTACATATCATATTCAGTATCGTTTCTGCAAAAATTCAATCAGAGTTAAAGAAATTCACTCGTACTTCAAAATACAATTACTAATATTTCTCTTGTCATTGCAGTTATTATTATTTTCATAAGGAAATTAACTCGATTAATTAGTATAATCAGTTACCTGTTAGTCACATCGAGTATTGTTATGTTAAATAATCTATTAACTGCAATTATGATTAAATCAATTAATGTCACAAAAATAATCAACTAATCAATATTGGTGTTTTTGATTATTCCAATTATCCAAGTAATAAAAATAATGCCATTATGACTTCAAATTATTATTTCTAATAAATGCAAGGTTGTTCAGCTTAATCAGTGTCATGACTCACAAATAATCAGTAATAATTGAAAACACTAATTTCTGTTAGTTATCTTGAATTATTCCAACAATCAATGTCTCATGAGAATAATCAATTAGTTAAATGTACTTGATTAATTAGCCAGACAATTAATTATTTATCAAATTCCACTAATTGCCCAGTTATACTTATAGATTTTGAAGAATAAAATTGAATTAAAAACATATCCCCTGTAATTTGAAAGTTCTTGTGAAAAATTGCCAAAATTAATTAAATATTTCTAAATGATGATCTACAGTAGAAGTAAGCTTATGAACACATCATTTTATCTGCATTTGAAATCACAAATTCATTAACTCAAAAAAAAATTAAATTAGGTATGTGTGACTATATTACCCTCAAATTAGACTTATTCTTATTCTGTTCACAGATTGTATTATATAATGAATAATTTTATGTTTTTTGACTGTTACAACACTCAATGTAAAATATCTGGTGGAATCAATCATATTCTATGTAAAATACAAAGAGAACCCAAGCAATAATCACTGAGATTAACTGCAATATTAATGGTATTTTGGTTTATTCTTTCTTTTATTTGACTTGTATTATTTTGGACCCTTTAAAAAAAAAATTCATGGATCCATAAACAATCTGGTGCATATCATTGCATGGCCCCCCTTAAGTAATTGAAGGATTAAATATTAGAAGTATTTTCCATTGTTACAAAGTTCTTGTCAACTTCATTTTTTTTCATAGTTTTTATGCTGTAATCTTTTATTCAGACATACTGTACAATAAACATACTACACAAGTAGGCAACTTACTAGTTATGTAATATGATATAAAAAATACAATTTTGATACTGATTAAAATGTCCATTAACTTAAAGTGAAATGTTAAACTATTTATTATTAAGTACAATTATTCAATCCTGATGTTAAATGATATCTTATGTCCACTTTGAGATAACATTTAAACTTTTCAAATAAAACAACAAAAGAAACTGGTGGCTAATATTTACACAGGTAATAACTTTCTTACAAGTGTTTTTGTTGTTGTTGAAAATAATCCAAATCTTGATACAATGTTTTAACAAGGCCTTGCCTCTGGATAACAAGTATCACAACAAATGATTTATTACTTTGAAAAATGCAAAGCTTCGCCCATCCTAATTAAAAGTTTTCAAAACAATATTTAGCATTTTTTCTACATATCTGTAAAGAATCTTTTGATCATCAAAAGGAAAACTTTTTTTTTGTTATTCCACTTAATTATGACTTTCAAACTCATCAAGCTAAAAAGATGTAATGAAAAACAAATGTTTTATGATGTATTTAGTGTTACTCATTAATCTTATGCTGTACAGCCTACAGAATAATATTTGTTTGAACTAGTCCTGCCATACAATCTATGGCATGGACTCACCTACCTTCCATATACCCTCACACAGATGTGCTTGTCTTGGCTTTCACAGAAGTTTTGGGATAAATCATTAGACTTCTCTGACACTTATTACTTTACTTCTGCAGTTATATATTGAAAAAAAAAAGGATCAACTATGTTTTCATTTGAACAAGAGGTTTCCCTCCCTATCATCCTAGAAAAATCTTAAACAGTGAATGTTGAACATTTATCCAAAATTGGATGCCTGTAAAGTGTGCACTGCATGTATGTATATTAAGACAAATAAGTTATGTAACCAAGAGCAACAAGCCTAAAAATGTTATGTAGGTGGTGTTTGAGTGTTACTAAAAGATAAATTAATAATACATCACAAAATTAAGGATTCTAGTGGTTTGAAACCATGTAACAAAAATCACATAATAAAAATTACAAAAAAATTTGCAAAAAGGGAATAAACACTGCTGCTGCAGAGAATATATTAATAAACTTCACAGTAACACCTTCTTCTACATAAAAAATAAAAGCTCTCATTCACATTGGATGTAAGTATTAAATGCATCTGTTTAACAAAATGTAAAGGAAGGGTCAAGTTACAAAAATATTTGTTTTTTTAACTTCCTAAAACTAAGTAAATGACAGAGAAAAATGTTTAGTTGCAAAAAAATATATAAATTTCAGGCCTTTCATAAAAAGAGATTCAATCTGTAGGTAGTGTTCCCAAAACAAAATTTAAAACTCAAAGTACAAGTTAGAAGCATGAAAAAACTATGGACCTACATATACGTAATGAAATACTGATGAGAAAAATAGATTTACAATGCTCAAAGATATTCAAACTTCACTTTCTCAATTTATAAAACAGAATATATTCAAATGGTTAAACATCTGTAATCCATAAAACACAGAAACAGTATTATCTACATTTACACTGTGTATGAGTAAGTAATGCAATAGTAAAGTTTACCTTTGTATGTACAGTAAATTTTACTTTGTCCCTTTCACTTAGGGCATCTGAGATATCAACAAGTAGTGACTGGTCAGTCAAATCCACTGTTTCTGATCGATTCTGAAAAATGGTATTTATTCTGATTGTAAATATTAATGAGAGATCCATTTGAAAATTTTATTTTCTAACTTAAATGCATATTTCATTTCAATAATTAATGAAATATATTTAACTTAGTGCTAAACTGCATCTTTTTAAGTGCCTACAAAAGAAAGAAATGCTTATTATTTTCAACATACACAAAATAAGATTTTAAATGCATCATTTTTCAATATTCCACATCAAACACAGTTGACTATACATTCACTTACATTTTTTTGTATTAAATAATATAACAATACTAATTTGAAGGTTGTATCTGGAAAACAAAACTACAAGAACATCCTTCAAACTTGCATGTACATGTATATACAATTTTACATTCCATCAATCAGTGGAATTGAACAGATCTCACCAAACATGGGGGCAGGGTAGGGTACATGTACTTATGATAAGTATTTATTATTGGACTTATGTCAGCAACTTTATCACAACTCCACACTTTTCAACACAAAAATTGTAAAGATATATTATACTGGTAACTAAACAGAAATGTCTGATTTTTCAAATATTTGTTTATACTATTATTTATCCATATACAGAAATCCTTTTCTTCAAGTTTTTTACACGTATTTAAGACTTAACATATGCGCTTTTTTAAATATGTTTTGTCACGTTTTTCAATGTTTCACAATGTTCTCTTCAGATTTTAGCCAATAAAATCATTTCTGGTAGTGATTTCTCAAAACTACAACATATTTTAACTCTTAAACAATAATTGTGTTAATTTGAAACTTGTTGCATGATGTTTTCTTGTATTACAAAAAAACTACTAGCTTCAATCATTTCAAGCTTAAGATGAAATTTGTACAATTTATTTGATTTCTACAAAATAAAATGTCACTTTCATATGTGACATTTATATGAATTCAAAGATTTCAAAGTTCAAAAATGTTTTACTGTTACGTTTTTTAAGGAAGTTAAAAATGTTACCTTTCTTGTAGATTTTAATTTCTGATTTTTATGTCTCCCTTTATTTTTGTAAAAACTTTCTAATCAATTTTTATTTTATAAAACTAAAAGTTATATCTATGAGCTTGTTCCATGAAAACATTTCTCTTCCTACTTATCACACTGCACCATCATAATTAAAATAAAGTAAAAATGATAGAGCAAATTTTTCATAAGCTTTAAAAACAAACCAAGACAGTAATTGTGGCAAAAGTTGTTCACAAACATCTTTTCCTCTAGCAACACTTCAAGTTAAGTTTTCATCACTTTGTTCTGATTTCAGAGAAAGTCTACAGTGAACTGGAAACCATATTGGCTTATACAGTTGAATAGAAAAAGAGCTTTCATTATGTATTTAAAATCACTAAGCTATGACAACTCAAAGCTGAGATATAGGTAATTACATCATACCATGACAACCAAAGCTGAGAAATAGTGATTGGCTAAAATCAATAAACTATACACCTGTATTGAAGTTACAAGGTTCAAGTTGGCATAGTTTTGTTTCAAATTATTCCAACTTTCTACCAAAGGGGCTACGAGTGCGGTATTATGCTCTCAAAAAAATTGAAAAATCAAACACTAATGTTTTCATTCAGAGCACAATGAAATCAACCAAAAATCAAAAATTGCATTTTTTTTATTTTTTTTATGTATATTACTAAATAAGTTTCAACTTAGTTTTTCATTTTTTGTGTATGAAAGAATGACCATAAATTTATTTTCTATATATTTTTTAATTCTACAGTAAAATTTTATCCTCTGGCAATGTGTGCACTCTGATAAGTACCAAAGAGTTGAGGACTCATTCAAATAATTCCAACCACATTCTTCTTTACGTACAAGTTTAAGAACAAAGTAAATGAAACCAAAACCTACAGAAAAAAAGATGACTACTGGTTCTTTACCTTTGATCCTGTGTCACTGTCAGGCATGGTGGTGATTTCGTCTGTTCCGTCTTGTAAGTTCAGCATATAGTTAATTCAAAAAGAAACAAATGCTTCATGTACTTCTTCCTATATAAAAATAAAAATAATTCTGAGCAAAATCCCATTTATAACTTTGATAATATTTAAAAAATATTCTTTCTTACCTGTGAATAACCTCCAATTTTGAAATTTTCTCTTCTCCTTCAACTGGCAAAACTGCAATAAATAAAATGTTTTACACATTCATTCATTATAACATCTCCAATATTTTTTTTAAGGTACAGCATTTTCCTTACTACTCTTATCCCTGTTCACATACGAAACCCTCCTTCAAAACTTCATTGTTTAAGCTACAAGGCTATTAGTCTTAATAATGAAGTTTTTTCTTCTTTCTTATTGACTTCCACAACTTTTGTAAACTCTGAATGACCTCCAATGTTTATTGTAAAATAGAAAAAGGACACACTGATTTTCCACATATTAGTGTGAATTGGTGAAAATTATGAAAGCCTCACTTACACTTCCTCATTAAAACCTCTCATCCAGTCTTACTTCCTTATGTACTTTATGTGCTTGGAACTTCACCAAATTCATTTAAACTCAAATTTGATAACCAAAAATAAATATTTCTAAATCCAAGCACCATTATATTATAAAGGATATTGATCTTTAAACTTGTCTTTTTTTCTTTTTTTATTAACAAACTTTTTTTTACATTGATTTAATAAATAACATCTTTTTAGTTATACTATTATATTGATTTTAGGGGTAAATACCATGCCTACAACCAGAGGATGAGTGGCACTAAGATTCAGGATATTGCAGGTTCTAGCACCCAAACCCTGGCCCTATTTGATCTTTCTTGCCAGCTGTCTTTTTTGGCATAAACCTGGATTTTTTAATTATGTCTTATAGAAAAGATATCCCCAATGATTCTAGGGGTAGTGCCAAATACATTTTAACTTCCCTAATAACCCTTTGCTTGTTTTTGTGCAATTATCTTTCCATACAAAATTGGCACTTTATGTATTTATTCATTACTGTTATACAGTACTGAATATCTGCCTATGTATACTTTCGATGCTGAGATAGTAAGTTCATTACCCCCATTTATATGCATATATATTTACCAAAATTTAATCACTTTAGTTACAATACATGATAATGAATGATCATTACCTCATATTTTAATAAAATGTACTTAACACCTAAGCCAATTTTATTCAGAAGATGATGTTGTAAGGGAAATAGAACATTTCTTTCCCAACATCTTGTGAAGTTTCTGTATGTAATTATTTTTAATTTTTCTAATTTGTATTCTTAGTTATATAGCTTATTTTGATTAGTTGTTGTTTTTTTTTAAGTTTCACTCTATATTTTCAGTTACATTGAAAATTAAGTTAGATTAAGAAAGTTATATGCAACTTAAAGTTACACTAAATGTTCACATTACACAATTATTTACATATTTTGTTTAGGTTAGTTATCTCTACAACTTTATGTTGAATAACGTAGTATTGGTGTTAAGATATGTTACTCCTCATATTCATAGTTTTTTGCTTTTTTCTTTTCTCAGTTCTATACACTAATTGTATGGTTTGATTATTAGTTTTTTGGTAAGTAGTGATAGTAAAAGGTCTATAATTTGTAGTGTGCATTAAAGGCAAAGAGTGGAATATCTTTCAAAACATTTGGTAAGACTAGTTTTCAAATGGATCGGAATGATTCCACAGAGTTTGCAGAACTTGCTTTAAGGACACTTGTAGAATTAAAGATTAAAAGAAAAAAATCTTCAAAGTTGCTGTTGATAAAGGTGGGGAAGGAAAAGGAAGTATTTATAGTAGGGATTCTCTCTCTCTTTAAGTATACTGAAAACTATATATATATATACACACACATACTGGAATTTGCAGGAAAACTATGATTGAACTTTGCTTGTTGAACACTAAATTTCAAGATATCATGAAGCACAGTTTAGTAGGGGTAACTAAAGTACATATTTTTTGTAGTGCATGTTAAAACTAACTGTGTGAGTAATTATATAATTGAAGATTTATCAACTATGTAAAAAAAACGAAGAGTCAAGAATAAAAATCAACGAATAGTTCTTTGACTTGTTAATTACGAATATGAAATTTTAGATATGCAATTATGAGGTTGTAGAGGTTATGAAAACGCAATTTGCAAACTGCACAATGGACAAAAGTATTTCTATTCTTCACATGAATATCATCTTACACTCCGACTTATCAGAGTTTGAGTAAGACTGACTTTGGCTTTTTAGATATATAGTGAGTACAAATACTTTGAGTATACACCCGATTTTTCTGTGTACAATACTTTTGTACATTTTACTCAAAGCTTGCCATATTTGTTGTAGATGCACAGAGCAAGTTCAGAATTATAGTCAACATTTCATCTCAAATACAAAGTCGATCCAAAAGACATACACATTTGGTTATGCAAGTTTTGAAATAACAGTGTTTACTGAAGAACTAAACACCTGTTAGTGACAGTATATACTATGCTGAGACAAAGATAACAAAATATCACCCTGTGATTCATACCATGAATTTTTGCAGGCAATGGACTAATAAATTAGTCTGTTATATTAAAAAAAAAGTATTAGCTGCAAATTGATAGAATGGAAAGAATTGGTCTGTTAGTACATTAGATGTGTTGGACATTACTGAATCTTGTTTAAATAAAGACAAAAAAAGATGCTACTTAAAAAAAATTTATGGTCTACTGTAGGTACCCTGAAAATGAAACAGGAAGAGGAGTGACTTTACTTGTAAAGCATCTAATCTAAGTTTATGTGAAAAAGAATGCCACTAAAAATAAGAAAACTTTTGAATGTATTTAGACTGAGGCTACTAACAATGATGAAAATGCTTACTGGCATTCTATAATAGTCACCTAACTAGATTATTAACAGTAATATGTAAAATTGGATTAGCTATAATGCAACAGTAAATGGCTCATTATTATTATTATAGGAGAAATTGACACTGTTTCTCCTCTTTAAAGTAGGCAGAAATTTTTAATGCTCACTTTACTGACTTTATTATACACCATTTACTTGCAGTGAGGAGCCATGTATTATAAAATGTTGAATTACATGCCTCATTACTGGTTGGAGATGGCTTGAATGGGTAATGAAGAAAAACTTTAATATAAGTTTAACATAACAGCAACTGTACAACCATTATTAGTCTCAAAGTGGGTTCCTTGTCATCGAATTTACATGCCTCATTGTAAATGGTTTCCAGAAAAAAAGGTGAAATCACTAATTTCTACATAATTTATATAAGGAATTTAACATATATTAATTGCAATATTCATGGCACCAGTATTTTAGTTTTATTATGTTAATGTGAAACTTGAAAGTCATTGCTCCACATACAATTTAGTGCATAATTAGTTTCAAAGAATATGTTTAAAAACCCAATGGGTTATGAACTCCATTGGTAATACAACTGCGAAACCAGAAAAAATGCTTTCTTATTCAGCAAAAGATTAAACAAAAAAGGAAACTGTCTATACATTAATTTTTTTTATTAATCTTATTACTGAAAAGAATATGATTAGAAATGTGGTTCTTTAGGAGTTTGAAAACAGGTCAATCAAAATTTTCCATCAAAAATTTTCGCGAGAAATTATTTTACTAAATAGTAGTTTACAACAACCAGCCCTGCGCATACAAGAACTTTGTATTTAACAGTAAATAACAACCCTGTAGTACACAGCAAACTTCTTATATTGAAACTTACCGTCTACTACGATTTAGATGTCGGAGTAAACTCAGCCTGTATTTTATTTTCAATTATGTTTAGACGAGCAATTATTCAATGACATAGATACGAAAACCTCTTGCACATAACTCTATTTTACACAAATAACAGTTCACCAAACTCACGAATACAAAAAAAATAATCTACCTTTTTTTCTCAGAACGATACACTCATGTCTCATCAATCTAACAAGTAACTTAGAAAGCTCTATCGACACCTTATTCATATGTACGCCCCTCGCTTTCGCCGAAAATACGTCACGTGCGATAGTAAAACAACCCATGCCATCAAATTCTTACTTCCTCATAATACTTTTATCTTTTTTTTTCGATGGTATAGCTTTACTGAATAAAACCACGCAAATCAATAACTCCTTATTGCTGTGCCAATATATTTTATGATTAATAATTTTCATTTAACTCCCAAAAATACTAAAATTGACTTGTCCAATATATTTATGTGATTTTTAAATTTGTTTCTTGCAAAAGGTAGGATTATTGGCCCATATGTCGAAATATTTCGTATTTTAAGTATAAGCGCTTATTTTTGTCAACATTTTATTTACGACTTTACTTTGTAATAGCTAATAATAACAAGATAATTGTTTTTATTACATTTGGTATACCAAATTCGTACGAGAGAATCCAAAAGATCCAAAGCGCTAGAAGCAAACAGTGAAAGTCAAAATTTACCTCTAAGTCAAAAAAGAATTACACAACAATAAGTAAAAACTAGGTAAGTTTATAATTAAGTAACCGTGCTTTAAATACTGTTGATTAATGTTCATCAAACTAAAAAAATATATCTTAGTTATGCATCAAAGAGATAAGAAAGCCTCAATATTTATTCAAACTCTATAAAATATGTATACTGGTAATAGTGTAAAAATTGAGGGTTCGAAGTACTCGCCCTGAAGAACAAACTATAAATAACTGATCAGACTAAAGTAAAAATGTTCATCAAACAAACACTCATTTTTAATGACACTGTGTCCCAATAAGCTTGTATCGAACTTGGACCATTAACAATCTAAACACATGTGTGGGCAGCAATTTATTCGTTCTTTTTACTAATGTTTAACTTTAAAGGATAAAATACATAGTGACGATTTTAAAAACTTCAGCACGAGGTTATAAAGTACAACTAACCTAGACACTCAGAATATCGATCACAAGCAACCTCCATCAAAATTTAGAATTATTATTGAATAAGTTCCAGGCATTTGCCAAAACCCTAATCTAGCCATATAAATTAAATGCTACCGATCAAATATTGTACAACAATTTACAAATGACTCGCTAAAAATGTTTTGTTTTTACGAAAAACTATGGTATTGTTACGTCTCTGGTCGTTAGTTAATTTTCCGTAAAAATTCTTTCCGAAGAAACTTTACCGATACAAGTCCTTTCTTAAATAAAACTGGTTTATTCTTTCTGAATACAACTTTGCAATACACTTAATTCACAACAAACGTCTCATGTGCTCGACTCAACTGTCAATTACAAACACATTGTTGCCGTCACTTCTTGGCGACTTATATATACAAGACTACTGCATATCTAGTAGCCTCTCGAGACTTCAGAAAGGGACATGAACGTTCGAGAATATGACGCGTCACTAGCGTCACGTGACCCCCGCTGTCGTAACAGTATTGTTATGGTATCCTGAAATACTGTTTTCCCGTTTAAATAAGAATAGTAACCGCAGTAACTATAAGAATTCTATCGCTGACTCTAACTGAGGTGAAGAAAGAGACCAAACACAATATAAAAATAAAGTGGACAGCAATCTTTATTAAACAACAACAACACAAATCAAACTTAAGGCGAGTACAGGACACCAAATAGTGTTGTTTCTATTCAGAATGCGGACCTGGCCAAGATCTAAAGACAATCCAAATAATGAAGAGTTCTGACGAAATTGTGGCTAAGAATGGGAGAATGCAACAGTATTTATAAAATATAATAGTGTTGTCTTTCCTAAATCACATGTTGGGCATTTATGTACGGGAAACATGGGGAATATAACTTCAAACTATCACCTGATTCGCCAATGTAAAATATCGTTGTCTACCTTTACATAATGTATCCTACTTTACAGTGATATTTCCAACGAGAAAGTGCATATGACACCAAAAAGGTATAACTCAGGGCAATAGGTAACGCGCTCGAAAGTAATCTATCCAAATAAACCAACATTCTGATTAAGAAGTTAGCACACAGGATCACATACAAGAGTTGTAATGGTTTTCAAGCGAGACCTAAAACTCGAGCGCTTTCGAATAGTTCACTATTCGAAAGCACTCGAATTTTTGGGTCTTGTTTGAAAACCACCATAACCAACATTATACTGTTAAACTACACAGAGCTTGAAACGTTTTATGTACGAAAACGTTTGATAATATTAGGTGAAGTAAAATGTACACTTTACTAAAGTAAAGAATAAAGAAAACAATAAATATTTTGCTTAACATGTTTTGTAGACTGGTCTTCACCAAACAATAAACATAAATCCCCCACTCTCGTTGAAGACATAATATGCATAATCAGCACAGCCTACAACCCAATCAACAAAAAACACCATCTGCTGATTTTTTTTTACAAAACTGTATCAAAATAAACAAATCAAATAAACAGATCTACAAAGGCCAAAATTCACTCTGACAAATGGCTCTTCAGAAAAGTCGAATAACATCTTCATGTGCAAAATTCTTGTTATACATTGTCTTTATGCATAGTAGTTTGTTCCTAAGAAACGTCCTCAGTTCCTACATTCTGTTCTTTACATAATCAGAGCTGTGATAAATTTTTATTTTCACAGAGCCAGTCATTGTATATTAGCATAAACATTTTGTCTTCATTAAATATAGTCCCAGATTTTTTTTTCTAGTCCAAGCATCTTTTATATTTCGTGAGCAAAGCTATCAATCCAATGACGCCCATCCCATGATGCCATACATACATTCGCGCTCTTTGTATTTACAATAGTACATAAGGCATTTCCATTTTGGACTAATTTAAAAGTTAAAATGTTTTTATATGAAAACTTAAAATACAATTTTATTTGAAACAAGTTTATTGATGGCCCTTTTAATTTGAAATAATAATTAAAAATAAGGTTACTAGTTTGCTCTGGTTCAAGAGGTATAGAAAGTCAAAGAAATAGAAACACATAGTTCAAGATTAAGAAATATTTCCTAGCACACTGTCTTTCCATTAAATAATTAGATGTCTTAGCTATTAAATGTTCATAATAATAATGCAACATTCCAATTCTTATTTCATCACCTATGCATTTACCTAAGTCTTTATTATTACTCACCCTTTGTCTTATCTTCTTGGTTTTCGTCCTATAGAAAAGATGCATCTATTAAAATCCACAAACTATGATTTTCATTTTTATCATTTTGTAACATATCATAATAGAAATAGAGGCTGTAATGTAAATTGTTTTCTACATTTTAAAATTTCTGACAGCAAAAGGGTCTTGAGAATCAACTTTCACATTTACAGTGTGGAGAACAAACAGACCAATTATACAATATATATATATATATATATTAAACATAGAAATGAAATACTTTATGATAAAAGAATAATAATGAAAAAATAAAAACATTATTAAAGGTCCGCAAAATTAACCCTGTTACTTAGATAAATATGAAATAAACCCAAAAAATTATGCTAGCCCTGAAGCCAAACAGTTTAAATAAAAAGCATTTTCTTCAATGCCATCCCCTCAAGTCAGACTGAGCTATGTATAGAAGCTTCCCAGATTCCCAAACCTCAGCAAAACTAACTACCACTTTTACTTTAGTACTTTGGAACCAGTTACAGATCAGATCACAAAGCTGGTCCAGCAAGAACACAAGACCAAAAAATAGAGTAACAATAAATACAGTTACAGTTTTACAAACTTGAGGTAAAAAGTTCAGCTTCCAGTATCATTTAAGTTTTTCGTCCATTTCTGCATCATAAATGAATGGCTGGACCATACTTTGCACTAATATCCAAAGTAAATTTGCTTTAAAAGAATTTTAGCTAAGTGTTTTAACCATTTAAGTTGCTGCCAATACGAAATATTTTGTTTGGAGTTATTTTGTTGACGTAACTATCATTATTAAGGACAATGCTACTTTACAAACGAAGTGTGTTCACCTTCCGAACTCTTTAAACCGAAGTGTAGCTATCTTCTGAACTGTTCAAACAGAGATGTAGCTACCCTTTGTTAAAAAGAATATATTTATTAAAATATAATATATTAACTCTATGACCAAAAATAATGTTGCATATTTCCACAGAAGTTTATTTTTAAAATATGGTTAAAAACGTTGCTGTTATCTATTTTTCACTTTCTGTTATGGTTAGTTTAATTGTATTATCTCTCACATTTCCAATTACATAGTATTCGTAACCATAAAAGGTACAGGTCATTTACCTTTTAAACTACAACCCTTTAATATTTTGTTTCTGGTAATAATTATGTCCTACTAAATGATGATAAACAATAATAATAATAATATTTACTTATAATATTTAGTTATTTTAATGTCCCCCGCATATTGGTTCTATAATGCGAATAACCTGTACTTGCCTTGGTTATTCATTGCTGTAGACCCTTCTCTTTGATTCATCCAAATCTTTCTTATAGAAGGCATGATTGTAGAATTGAGTGACTGATGATGTGTCTAATATATACACTCTAGAAGATATGGTGCTACTGCATTTAGTATACGAGGGCTGAGTACAATTAATGTCATGATCAGTTTTATAGTGGAATTTTTTAAAGCAGTTAAAGCTGCAACGTTTTAGTATCGGGCCGTTTTCGGGAAATGTATGAATAACAACAAATGCAAAGGTTATTCTCGGCAGTGCACGTACTGAATTATAAATATTAACAGAGGTAGCAAAAATTATTCCCAATAAAATGTAATGTGCAATTATATGGATTCTGATTAGTAGAAATAAAGAGAAGTTCCGGAATGTTTGTTCAAAGAAGGTTTTAATGTTTTGATTATTATAAATTCCGCGATTTTTATTCTGTTTATATTAGTTTCACTTCGTAGAATTGTAATATTGTTTTCGAATATCGAATGTTTACTTTATTTTAAGTGTTCAAAAACATAATACGGTCCTTTCATGTGTTTGTTTATCCTTGTGTTTAGTTCTTTTCCAATTTCATCTAAATAAATTCGTTCACATGTGTCGCTTTTGATTACATATATTACTCCTTTTGTGTGTTCTTGTTTAGGATAATTTCTTCC